AGTGACAAATGTTTAGAGAACAGATAATTTGATTAAATGGAGTTATTCCCCTTCAGCTATGTGTTAATTCTAATGGTCACATTTGATCAAATCTACAAAGAGTTATATAACACAAGGATGTATGATCACTGTTTTTCTTTTTTTAATTTAATTCATATATAAAACATAGGTTGCCAAGCAACGCTCATACAGATGGAGGCGACGGCAATATACGACCACAATGCGGCTGTATAAAAAACATTAACATAATCCAGTTATTCATATGTTTTAAGTATGATTAAATAAATGAAATGATACGGAGTTTAATGTCCTTTTCTTCTGCCCTGGGCTAATGAAGATGGACATGTGTGCAGTGTGCTATGAGGGAAAGTCCTCCTGGATAACGGTCTACTCTTATTTCGAACTCCGACTGTCAAGGGTTCTTTTAGGTGCGTGCCAATTGGTGTACATCATCAAATAAATACTCACTACTTCCTCATCCCAGCCAGTCATCTTGGCCGTAAGTTTTGCCGTTTTTTCCTTGGCTTTAGCTCGTTTTTGACAGCACCAAGCTATACAAGCGATCAAAACAGCTACAATCAGTACACCGGCTACAGATGGAGCAACAATTATAGCCATTTTCTTCTTTTCATCTCTACATTAAAAAAAAAATATATCAATTTATTTTATTGAGAGAGAAAATAAAAAATACAATCAACTAAAACAATAGACCATCAAAAATTTAAATCGTCGGTGGGGATGCAAATTGAGTATTTTCTATGTTTTTTTTATAAAGACACATTACCTAATAACTAGATTGATAACTTGGTATTTCTCACTAAAGTATCAAATTTCTTAAATAACCCCTTACCAATATGTACTTAACATATATATGTGATTAAAATATCAAATTTCTTACAGCTTAGTCCCACACCAATATGTACTTAACATAATATGATTATTTAACATTAAAGTAGCTAAGTCTTAAACTCAATATCATCCAAAGTATTCGACATTGAAAACACAAATTATTTGTCAATTTAAATCAACATCGATGATGTGATCTTACCGGGAAAAGATGAGCTTCTGATATCCAATATTTAAGACGAAATAAACATTTTACCATTGGAAAACACATCGTGTACCATAATGTATTTCAGTGACATTTTGTAACAAGGGATTCGAAGAACAAGGCTAGACATTTTCGACAAGTCATGTCAAACGGTTACGCCATATTCTTATCTGGAGAGCATGTGCAATAAATACTATGGTGTAGGCCTAGTCTGGAATAACCAGACACTAGAGATTGCTATTCGATTGAGACTTCTGTCGTATTTTGCCGAACATAACTGACCTATCACTACATTATCTTTGTAGATAATATAATATACTGAGCGCCATGGAAAACGCATCACTTTTTTTTCCCAAATGTTTTATTACTAGGTGGTTCTGTATGTATAATATTATGCAATACTGTGAACTATTGTTTCACACAATGCTCCCAAACGCACTAGAGATGCCGAGACTTACTGAAAATCAACGGAATGAAGCCATGGGAATGTCCAGGGCTGGCATGTCTACACATGCTATTGCCAGACACTTCAATTGTCATCAGTCCACTATTGTAAGGTTGGTGGAACGTGTTCGAGTTTCTGGATCAACACGTGACCGTCAACGTCCTGGTCCACAACGCGTTACAACCCAGGCTCAAGACCGCTACATCCGGGTCACTCATCTGCGTGACAGATTCCACCCAGCGACTCGAACAGGTGCAGCAGTCGTCGGAAGACACGTACCAGTAAGTGCCAACACCATAAGACGTCGTCTAAGAGAAGGAGGACTCCGTGCACGACAACCTTATGCTGGAGCTATCCTCAGGGATCATAACCTTCAGCGGCGTTTGATATGGGCTCAAAGACACCAGACATGGAGAAGAGTAGACTGGCAAAGTGTGCTCTTCAGTGATGCGAGTCGCTTTCATCTTTTATCACGCTGATGGCCGGCAACGTGTGTGGAGACGTCTTGGGGAACGTCTTGCAGACTGCTGCGTCTTCAAAACCAATCGATGGGGTGGGGGAAGTGTAATGTTTTGGGAGGCTTCACATTTCATCGCACGGACCACCCTACACATTTGCAGGGGTCGCGTTAATGCTGTAGCCTACCGTGATGATGTCTTGCATTCAATTGTTGGCCCGATGTTTCGAGCGCACCCACAACTTCCAAAAGGATAAAGCGCGTCCGCATACCGCCCGTTTTAGTATGGACTACCTGGCTGCTAACAACATCAATGTCTTGGACTGGCCAGCCATGTCTCCGGACATGGCACCGATAGAACATGTCTGGGATGAGATTGGACGCCACAGATGCACACCATTGCTGCTTTAGAAGCTGCTCTTGTCCAAGAATGGAACAATTTGCCCCAGGCCTTCTTTCAAACATTGGTTAATTCCATGCGCCGTTGCTGCACAGCGTGCATAAGAGCCCGTGTAGGACACAAGCGCTACTGACATCTGTGTCGTACTTTTGGTTTTGACCCCTCTGACTTTGTACCGTTGATTACAGATTAAACATCCATAAGTGTACAAATGTGTTGTTATTGATGTGTTCCCATTTGAATATTGTTGACAATAAGAAGCAAAATAAATAAGATCTGTTTACAGGATCATTTTGTTATACGAAAAACTAAGAGATGCGTTTTCCATGGCGCTCAGTATATATTCTATTTCTGAGGACAACTGTTCTGCTCTGACTGGGCTAATGAAGACGGGCATACGCCATACAGTATGCTATAAGGGACACTTGGCCCAAACAGCGGTGTTATGGCTTACTCTTGTATCGAATTCAAAATGCCAAGGGAACTTTTACATGAATGCCAATGTGTACACAGAGCCTCAGTTTTTTGTCCCATCTGAACAACTATACAGCTATCCTTATCAGACCCTCCGCCCTGAACCATAGACAAGGGGAAACCATGTCGGAAAATCTCAATGAACTTTCTCAGCCAACACCAGGAGCGAAACCGCGACCTCCAGCGTCTTACCCACTGTGCTCAGTATTCCTATTAGAAATGTTCAAATATGAAAATGAAAAATAACATCTTGTAATAGAAATGTCAGATTGAGCAGTTCTATCAATATTGGAGAAAGAGAGAAATGGAGCTAACACAAACTAGGTCACTTCGGGACTAACATATGGTTCAATTTAATTTCAATAATTCCTTTCCAAGTAGGGGTCTTTAACAGTGGGAGGAAACAGGAAGACCCAGAGAAAATATATGAGGTTGGACAGGCGACCCTACTCCTTGTCACGTACAACCGGGGAATGGAAACCACAACAGTTGACTCAATGCCAGACCTTATGATACAACAAGCACGCACTAACCATTCAGCCATCCACCCCTCCTCGATATATGGAAGACACAAACACTAAATACATATACAGTACTTACTCAGCGTTACGTGATAATAAAGCGATGACTTCTGGATGGGTATTATCAGCACAAACTGTTCTAGATGCTGTTTCACTATTTGTGTTGTTATCCAACACTGAATATGGTAGATGTTGTGGACATTCATCCGTGCAGTTAAACTACAAATTTATAAAATATATTTACTAAATTCAAACGGCCAGGATGAATGAAATCGGGTACATATATCCCAGACAGAGGCCTCCCACTTGCTTAACAACTGCCCATTTTATCATTCCCTACCCTCACCCTTTCAAAACGTTGAATAGTACCACTTACCCTCATTACCAACTTCCCTACCCTCACCCTTTCAAAACGTTGAATAGTACCACTTACCCTCATTACCAACTTCCCTACCCTCACCCTTTCAAAACATTGAATAGTACCACTTACCCTCACTGACAACTTCCCTATCCTCACCCTTTCAAAACATTGAATAGTACCACTTACCCTCATTACCAACTTCCCTATCCTCACCCTTTCAAAACATTGAATAGTACCACTTACCCTCATTACCAACTTTCCTATCCCCACCCTTTCAAAACATTGAATAATACCACTTACCCTCACTGCCAACTTCCCTACTCTCACCCCTTTCAAAACGTTGAATAGTACCGTATAAATTCTACAACTTACTATCATTGTATCATTGCCAACTTCCCTACTCCTACAAATAAATTCTACCACTAACATCTTGATTATCGCCATCTTCCCTACCATCACACGCCCAAATAAAATCTACCATTTACCCCCAATGTATCATCGCCATCTTCCCAACCCGTACCCTCCCAGATAAATTCTACCACTAACATCTTGGTTATCGCCATCTTCCCTACCGTCACACGCCCAAATAAAATCTATCTACCCCCCCCCCCTCGTATCATCGCCATCTTCCCAACCTGTACCCTTCCAGATAAATTCTACCACCATCTACAAGATAAATTCAAGCACTTACCCTCTTATCATCCTCAGCTATCTGTACTTTCTGATCCTCGACATCCACTTCGACACTCGTCAAAACATGGTTCACACTTCTGTGTCGCTTTATTACCGAATGTCATAGTTGGACAGAATTTTACACACGAATCGGCCTTGAAAAATTTACATTTATTACAATTCATATTACTGGCCCCGTAACATGTCTGACACAGTTGATGACAAGGTTCACACAACTAAAATAGAATTAATAATTTGGAATATAGTATTTATGCAAATAAAAAACAATTTGGAATATATATAATTTTTTTTAAATAAAAAACAATTTGCAATATATGTTATTTTCGACAGATAAAATAGTGTTTAATGTCCTACTGTTCTGCACCGACTGGGCTAATGAAAACAAGTATACACCTTAGAGCATGCTAATTTACCTGCACGCCGATATGTACATGGAACCTCGGTTTTTAGTCCCATCCAAACAACTATGAATTGTAGCATCCTGCATGACTTTGGGGACCAAGACCAGAAAATCCTGATAATTTTTCTTGGTCAACACAGGGATCGAAAACGGAACTTGCAATGTAGCGAGTCAACACCTTACACACACTGAGCTCCCAAAACCTAGGACATTATCCCTTTAACACCACAGTCCCTAAATGACCAAAACCTAGGACATTATACCTCTAACACCACAATCCCTAAATGACAGAAACACAATCTTACCCTTTTTCCACCTAGTAGATTATTATTGTCTATTTTAACGGGAGTTAGATGATGACTGTCGGGGCAGGAATTAGTATCGGTTGGTAAACATCTTATAGTTTCTGTAAAATGAGACTTTCGAAAACCGACTTCACAAGAGTTACATCCCCCTGGACCCACAATATCAGAATTTCCTGTACATCTGAAACACATAGATTTAAGTAACGTATAAATATAATTGTGAACCCGAATGAAGCCTTTAACACCTGGATTAACCGAAATGTAACATAAATATAATCAGGGAACTGGGGCGGTATTTATAAAAATTCTAAGAGTTGGAACCAACTCTTAACTGTCAAAAATTACTCCTAACTTTGTAGATTTTCCTAAGACCTATTTATAAAACATTTTACTTTAAGAATTACTCCTAACTATGACACATATTTAGGAGTCCTCCTGTAGCACTCCTAACTTGTTAAAAGTACTCTTATCTTGGTTAACATGGCCGTCCGTGTACGCCGCCCACTGTCTGAGTCTTGGTAAATTTTAAACGGATTTCTTCGATTATGAACAAACTACTTAACTTTGGTTATTATAAACTTACCTGTGTGTTTGTAATGAACTCCCGTTCGATAAATCCATTGCACAACTAATTATCACAACGATGAAAACAAGTTCTCTCTTGAAAAATTGAAATATCACAAACTTTTCCCAGAGAAAAATACCAATATGGAAGATGGTTACGTCACTCTGCGGAAGATATCATTTCGTATTAGGGGTGACAGCATGATAGGAAATTCAAGTACAATTACGACAAGAATCCATGACCACTCGGACCAAAGACCACTCGGTTGAAGACCAGTCGGACCAACTGAGAGACCACTCAGCCCAAACAAATAGACTACTCGGACAATACAAAAAGACTATTCGGACCCAACATAAAGACGACTCGGACCAATAATAAAGTGTTGTTTTAATAAATTGATAATTGCGTTTGTTTTAATATGATTACTCGAACCAATAATAAAGTGTTATTTTAATAAATTGATAATTGTGTTTATTTTAATATGACTACTCGAACCAATAATAAAGTGTTATTTGAATAAATTGCTAATTGTGTGTGTTTTAATATGACTACTCGAACTAATAATAACGTGTTGTTTGAATAAATTGATAATTGTATTCCAAATCGCAAAATATCGAGAACCACACTTGTAGTCACGTTTAAAAAGGGGCATATAAACGTTCGGTCTTCGTATTATTATGTGCTGTTTATATTAACGCATCAAGGGCGGATAACTTGAAAACGTGTCTCCCCCCCCCCCCATATATAGTAACCCAGGGGTTAGTGAGGTAGAACGGAATGAAACCACTGGGGATACCGCGAATGTGGAAAAAGTAAAATTAGGCTATCAGACAAGAACAGTATACCCGTATATGTAGAAACTGTCAAAAGTCTGGACATACCGAGTCTCATTGCAAGAGTAAAGAAAAATTAGATTGATATTTTTTTTTGGCACCATTATTAATTAATTTTAAAACTAATCGTTGATTTATTTTCCGTACACAAAATTGAACCAAACAACTCTAAATATAAGAATTCCGTATAAGAATTATTTGCTTCTTTGTATTGTGATTTAATAATAAATAAATAGCATATTGTCTAGCCTTATAATATAATTTAATTGGTCCGACTGGTCTTGTTTTGGTCCGACTGGTCTTAGTCCGAGTAGTCTTTGGTCCGAGTGGTCTGGATACCTACGACAATTGGCATTGAGTTTGAGCGTTCGCACACATAACTACCCGCATTCCTGTATTTAGTTACCGTCTTTTACATTCTAGTAAAATCTCTGCAAATTTTATAGCTTTACTTTTTGAAATATTGTGTTCTAATTATTTGATTAGCGACTCGGATGGGATTATTTGCTTTTGAACACGCATGCCGCACAAACACAACTATACATTCGTTTTACGGGCTTTATCACACTTCGGTCAAAACTATCGAATCGAGAATTAATGTTCCGCTTCTTACGGGGTCATACGGGCTTAGTAGCATTATATACCCACCCGGGCACCCAATAGACACGCTGAGGGCTGCCGCAACACGCTTAAAGATGTTACTGAAGCGGTTATTATTCGATCGAAAGAATGCGTATAAAATTAAAAATACATTCAGAGAATTCGGAGGTAAGCTTCATGATCCTTGTTAAATTATTTATAACATAAAGAAGATAGGATATTTATAGTTTATACATGACTTTATTTTTACGAGTATCCGTGCAATCAGTGATATTTTAATTGTGAAGAAAATTTGATAGACTGGCGATCAATGGTTTCCATATAAATCTCCTATGTATTTGCCTTCAATTGATATTTTTCGTCGCCCAAACCCAGATACGATCAAAATGATCGCGATGTCAAACTATCTTTCAATGTTAACCAACCCCCGCAACAGGTATATTGGATTCGACCAATACGTTACGAAGACATTGTTGACATCGACTCGGTCGAAATTACAAGTAAATTTTCAAATTTTTCAAGAGAGAACTTGTTCTCATCGTTGTGATAATTAGTTGTGCAATGGATTTTATCGAACGGGAGTTCATTACAAACACACAGGTAAGTTTATAATAACCAAAGTTAAATAGTTTGTTCATAATCGAAGAAATCCGTTTAAAATTTACGATGGTTCACACAGTAAGAGAGTTTAAAACAAGAAGAGATTTCTTAGTGGAGTACAACAATGACGAGTTGATAAGGAGATATCGAATGGACATGGGTGGGATTCTTTTTGTGACAGATTTAGTTCGGCATCTACTTACGAGTCCTACTAAACGAAATTTCTCAATTGACGCTGAGATGAAGATCGCCATTACGCTTCGTTTCCTAGCTACTGGTAAAATGCAACTGTGTAGTGGTGACGATTTCGGCGTCAGTCAACCTACAGTGAGTAGAGTGATTGCATGACATCAACACTGAGCTATAAATAACTTCAGGGAATCCCCGGATTTCCCATGGTTACATCGCTAAGAGTTTGGTTAGGACCCAAGTCTTACATTTAGTTAAAAGTAACTCTAAGACCCTTTATAAATATTTCTAAAGAGTAACTTTTAACTAAATGTTGTTTTAGGAAGTCTTAGAGTAAAAGTTATGAAAACTCTAAGAATTTTTATAAATACGGCCCCTGGTTTCAGTTAATGTAGACCAGCAAATGAAATGGGGTTTAACGTCCTACTGTTCTGCTCCGACTGGGCTAATAAAGACGGGCATACGCCATACAGTGTGCTATGAGGAAAATATTGCCTAATGCTTACACAGGACCTTGGTTTTTCGTCCCATCCGACGACTAGACAGCTATCTATGTCAGACCCTCCGTCGTGCACCACAGACAAGGGGAAACCCACGCTGTAAAATCCAGATGAACTTTCTCGGCCAACACAGGGATTGAACCTGCGATCTCCAGGTTAGCGAGATAATGTCTTACTCACTGAGCCACTGCAAATCCCCCCATGGCTTAAAGGATTAGCTACAGTCTATATAACACCATCAATGACGTTATAAACTTTAAGATGCTTTAAGGCTCTGTATTTTACGCTTACAAAGAAGATGGCTACTCACCCATCAGCACAGTTTTTATGACATTTTCTACAGATATTATTTTCATCTGGGTACATGATACTTGGACACTCTGCTAGACAGATGGCGACATTGTTGTTATCTAGAATGGTAACATTCTTACAACTGTCTCATTGATTCGGTTCCTGAAATATACAACATCAATCTCTCTCGAATATATGATACCATTTTGTTATGGACAACAGTCACTCTGTCAATGGATAACAGTCATTTTGCTATGAACAAAAGTCACTTTGTTAATGAAAGACTGTCACTTTGTTATGGACAACAGTCACTTTGTCAATGGAAGACAGCCACTCTCTGCAATGGAAGACTTTCACTTGGCTATAAAAAAACCCAGTAACACTGCTATTGAAAAGTCACTTGCTATCAGTGCAGGACTGGTGGGCAGAAGGCCCACCTGTCAGGTCATTGACCAAGGCACACACAAGTACGCGCCAAAGGCGTCACGAGCGTCTGGGGGGGGGTCTCCCCCAAGGAAAATTTAGAAAATTGACAACCGCAAACACATTTTCCAAGCATTTCAGACCAAAGCAGAAGAAGGCAAATGTTTAATTTTCTGATACAATTTTTTCTTTATAGGCTTAGGCCCACTTTTTTTTATGAGCTTAGGCCCACCTGTCACGGCTTGCTATATATTGAAAACAGTCACATTCTCATGGAAAACAGTCACATTCTCATGGAAAACAGTCACTTTCTCAAGGAAAAAAGTCACCTTTTCCTATGGAAATGATCATTTCTCATGGCAAACAGTCACTTTCTCATGGACAACAGTCAATTTCTCATGGAAAACAGTCACTTTCTAAATGAAACAGTCACTTTCTAAATGAAAACAGTCACTTTCTAAATGAAGACAGTCACTTTCTCATGGAAAACAGTGGAGGAATGACACTTTGCAATGGAAGATAGTCACTTTGCAATGGAAGACTGTCAATTTGCTATTGAAAACAGTCAATTTACTATTGAAAACAGTAACACTGCAATGGAAGACTGTCACTTAGCTATTGAAAACAGTAACACTGCAATGGAAGACAGTCAATTTGCTATTGAAAACAGTAACATTGCTGTAGAAAACAGTCACTATGTAAACAGCCACTTTCTCATGGAAAACTTGCCAAGGATGACAGTTTAATTTGCTATAGAAGACTGTCACTTTGTTATTAAATTGTAAACAGTCACTTTGTTACAGAAAACAGTCACTTTGTCACAGAATTCAGGTGTCTATAGAATGTATTTATCTTTTTGTAGTTAAAGACTTTGAATATGATTTCCCTTGACAACTGATGGTACTAATGGTACCTTTACGACTAATGGTACCTTTATGACCAATGGTCCCTTTATGACCGATGATCCCTTTACGACCGTCTGACCCTTTGCGACTGTTGGTTACTAGATGACCAATGGTCCCTTCACAACTGACCGTTGGTTCCTTATTGTAAAATACTTACTGGTCCAGTACAGTTGTTTTTACATTGAGCATGACAAGGTTTACATCTCTTATTTCCAGCATGTAAATGAAGATTTATATGAGAACAGGATTTAATACACATATTTTCTTCTTCAACACGATATTTTCGACATTTGAGGCATTTGTCTTTTCCCTTTCCCCAGCAACCATCCAGGGAACATTCATCATCATATACGTGACCGTCACGAACTACAATAACAACGACAGTAATTACGGGTAACAGAGATTTAAAATTAAAAGTCGAGTGGGCAGAATGACCTTATTCACATCGCTTCGTATTGCATCGTGCGGTGATCTCAGAATGAGTGAAAGTTGGGAAGGTTCAATAGATTGACAGGTACAAGTATGCTTTGACTAATATTGAGATCACTGCTACATTAAACATACATTATGCAAGAGTTAAATCTGCCTATTGCAGGTCTTTCTTTAGGCCTGAAATGTTATCTAAATCATTAATTGGACATTAATTAACTTATCCAGACCATAATCAACTCTCAATGGCATCGCTAGCCTGTGATATTGACTGAATTATAACCCAGTCTGCTGCTTCTGATTAAATTAAAAAATGGATAATCAAGACTATGTTTATTAGTAATGTTGATCGAGACTAGGCCTAAAATTCAATTGCCAAATATTCTGTTCAGGGTGGATCAATTTGACTGAAATTTTCAGCAAATTCCCTTTACATTATCTAGTTTTTAACTATTATAGTGAGAACTACCAGCTCTTTATCTTTAACTTATATATGGTACATATAACTCAAACAACAGCCCTGATAACCTCATACTATAAATTGACTGACGCGTTGGTTTTCTAGCTGGTCATTTGCATGACCATTCGGTCAGTCAGAAAAACATTTCCCCAAATAAAATAGCGATTTTTTGCATATTTTTCCATGTTGTTCATCTAAAAATTAAACTACATTTATTATTTTTTAAGGGTTCTTGAAATTCTAATATCATGGTGTTTACATTTACTGTACTGATATATAAGTTTTCCATCTAGTCATGTTCACAGTCATGACCGATATAAAATAACTGAAACAGAAGCTAGCTGTGGTTTCTATGGTACCAACTCACCACAATCTTCAGGTTTAGCATTGGACTGAATGTTGAGTCGTTGATCGTCGTTTAATATGAGTAACCTCCAGTTCATACTACCTACGTAACACAGATTACTGTTGCCCGCTATCAGGATGCCACCTTGACGTATCTCCTTCAACTTCACCAATTCCAACGATTCCAAATGTGTCATCATAATATTAAGAGCTAGGGCACTGTTTGAAAAAAAGAAATGAAATGGGGTTTAATGTTTTGCTCCAACTCGGCTAATGAAGACAGGCGTGCACTATACAGTGTGTGCTTTGAGGGAAATCTTGCTCGGACAACGGCGCTACAACCTACTCTTATTTCGAAATCTGTCAAGGGTTCTTTACATGCATGCCAACGTATACAACCTTTTATTATTTCTGTCAATTATATGAAATGGGATCAGTTAACCCCTTGTATGAAATGGGATCAGTTAACCTCAATGAATCCACATTATTATATGAAAATATATTCAATACTTTACTCACCCATTCGGTTCCCGACCAGAAAAATATTTCAGACTCTTAAAATATGAGAGATTCCGGAATTCTGTGTGATTTGATTGGATAATTAAGTTGCCCGATATCTCCTCCACATCTTCAAACACGGAAAGATTGGATGGGTGAATGTGAGGTATCTTCAAATGGGGATCTCTGAAATTAAAACACCAAAACATATTTATTAAAAATATATTATTTAAGAGCTAAATCTGTCTATTACAGGTTTTTATTTTAGCTTCAAATGTTATATAAATTATTATTCATACATTTATTCACACGACAAGCCTATAATCAACTTGGATGGCTGAGATTTAAAAATTATTCATTATTCATCATTCTAATTTAAATAAAATTAGATTTTTCTGTCCCCAACACCCCCAATCCCTGTATTGCAGTGTCTAAGAAATTTGCTATTTATTGTGCCCTTCTTGTGGAACTCAACATCAGCTCCCATACTATGGTGGTATCACAGACATGTTATGTTTCCTGGGAAACACCCGCTTCCATACTACGGTGGTATCATAGACATATTATGTTTCCTGGGATAAATCCGCTTCCATACTGTGGTGGTATCATAGACAGGTTATGTTTTCTGGGAAACATCCGCTTCCATACTACAGTGGTATCATAGACATCTTATGTTTCCTGGGAGAATTGCCTGTTTTCTGTTTTGAAGGGTTGGGGTCTTTCAATTTTTATTTTTTGTTTATGATTGGGTTTTATTTTTATATATAAATATGTTGTGAGTGAACAGACTAAATAATTGGTGGTTAGAATTAGTAAACATGATCTGTCATATTATTTAACTGATATCTTATTTTATTATTCAAATATTGTCACATGACAATAAAGTATACAATCACGTATATAGATTACATACGATGTAAGTCAACAAACCCAATACATGGTGATAAGCAAACAATCAATTGATATATGATCTAATCACATGAACCTTGGAAATTATAACATACAGTTGACACACCTACCAGAATATATGTATATCATATTTTAACTGGATATTTGGTTAATCAACGGATGTTTTCTACAATTGATTTATTATAATGGTAATTATTTATTATACTGATTTCCTGGGATTTTAAGATGGCGTCTAAGTATACCTGTTCTATTTGTTTAAATAACTTTACCAAACCCAAATTACTGCCATGTTCTCATACGTTTTGTCAACAATGTATAGATGACTACATCAAGGCTCACGGTAGCTTCAACAAGTTTAACTGTCCTATTTGTAGACAAGAAACAGCGGTACCATCAGGTGGTGCCAGTCAGTTTGTCAACAACTTTTATCTAGAAGACGATGATGATGATAAACAGTATTGTACAAAACACAAGAAGAAAGAAATAGAAGTTTATTGTCGAGATTGTCGTAAACCATGTTGTTCTGTGTGTGTTATGGTGGATCATGAAAATCATACGAAAGCTGATTTAGATGAAGTAGACCAGGAAATGAGAGAAATTGTCATGAAACTAAAAACTGAATCAGAAAAGAAGATAAAACAGTTACAGAAACATTCTGACTTTCTGAAGACCAAAATATCTGACACAAACAACTCATGTAAGACAGCTTGTGATCAAGTTCAGAAACAAATAGACAGTATTTGTGAAAAAGTCAAGAAGATTGGAGGAACAATTAAAGATGACATCAATAAAATTGGTGAAGATGAAAACAGTAAACTAACCAACCTAGTAGAAGATGATGACAAGATGACATCTAAAATGAAAGAATGGTGTGAATATGCTGATCGTATATTACAACATAGATCTATAATTACAGCCGTAGATAAACATGGATTAACAGATGTTCAAACCAAAACTGATTACAACATATCAACAAATTTACAGAAACCTGTAGTCAGACATCCATGTTATTCTATGGTTGAGGTTGATGTAGACTGTTTAAAACGACTACTGGGTGAAGTAGAAACACCAACAACATTTACCAGTAGTTTTAGTTTGAACCAGATAGTGAAGCCAGGTGAGAACTACTATAGTGATGCTGTAATAATACAAGGATTACCATGGTGTGTATTTGTTGGACGTGGTACATCAACATTATATATTGACCTGAGATTGAAGAAAGTAGAAGATAAAACTAATAAAGCTGTTAAAGCTATTTATACAGTAAAACTGTTAAATATCAATGATGAGAGTAAATCACTAGTTAAACAAGATACATGTACACGTAAACCTGGTGATTGTACATGTCCTGGTACATATATAGACTGGGATAAACTACAAGATATAAACAATGGTTTTATTGATGATGACAAGATATTTACTGTACAGGTTACTGTTAATACTTAACTGATATAGAACGATAATGCAGACCAAGTCATATAATAAACAGTATTCTATAGTATTATGTTATAAACAATAATAGGATAAACTACACAATGTCAACAAACAGATTTGTTTTACTATACATGTTATTGTAAATATAACTGACGGCGGATCCATTCACTTGATCAAACATGATAGAATAAATTACAGAATGTCAACAATCAGATTTTTTTTTACTATACATGTTATTGTAAACTGATCCATTCACTTGATCTGATACGTTTGTTGTTTGTGGTGTCTGTATATATTGTGTCATGACGGTAGGTTTGTCTCGTATGTGGTGTGGTCCCCCTGTATGTATTAATAGAACAGATATTCCCTCTAAATGTTAGTAATTAGTGTGTGTACAAATCATGTGGTGTGAGAATTTCATGTAGGTAAGATATTTACAGCTATATTGTGATGTAGTGATATCTGGCTAGGAGGAACAATGTACATAACTATAAGTGTCGTGTACATTTATTAGCATGACAAGACTTGGTGACAATATTTCTACTCATTTAGGGATACTTATGTATAGAATTACAGAGAGTCAGTTCAAACAGCAGCAATATTGGTCTTTATGACGTTATTTCCATGAGAGAAAAAAATATGTTCTGTTGACCTTTTGGACCCCCCCCCCTCCCGTTTTGGACACATGCCTGGTTTGTAAATTGTGTAATACTATAGGACCTATATACTGTATACGTTATCCAAGTTCTCTTAAAAGATCCTCTGGTTAATGTATTCAAGCCTCCTAGGCTAAGAAACACTGCCGCAAAACACAAGCTGGGGATAGAGAAGTTATATTTAGCTTATATATAATATCATAGCTGTGTGTGTAGTTTCCTGTATATAACCATTTGTATTATGGATCCAGAGTTAATTGATCATATACACAACATGAAGTCCTAGTTCCTAATTTACTGTATTGTCACTGTCTTCTCTTTTTGGAGTCCGTGACCAGGATAATCACAATTGCAAACTATTTAAAGCTGTAACTGAAATCCGAGAAATTCAGATACCGGCCACAATCAGTTGATCACCAGCAGCATTAACTGGTTTCCTGTTCAATGAATCTAAAAGCCAACAAGCCAGGAGGATAAAACGATGGTGCTTATACGTACATTGAGTGCCATTAATTTTTAAGAGTTATGCCCCTTTTTTCAGAAACCTGTCCATACTGCCTGTAATACTTGTCAGCGTAATAAAGGCTACAGTTTTAATCCTATTTTAGGAAGCTGTTATTATGATGAGATGAAGATCCTTATTTCATTTCATCAAAATAGGATTAATAGATTTATGCCCCTTGTTTGCTGAAACGTATCCACACTGCTTGTAATCCTTGTCAGTACGATATAGACCAGAGTTTTCATCAGATTTTTCTCAAACTTTACGGAAGCTTGTTAATGATCAAATTAGGACTCATAGTTATTGTCGTCAATGTCGAATCAATAATTTTTAGAGTTCTGCCCCCTTTTTTGCTGAAGCCTTGTTAGCATGATAGAGCTAGGCCACATTTTTACAGATTCTTTTCAAATCTGGTGTAAAGCATTGGGGAGATGTTTACATTTTGTTTGTGGACACCTCCTCCCCCTGCCCCCACACATTTATGGCCCTGATGACAGAGGCCTGGCAAGGGAAAACAAATAGGTAGTCATTCATACTAAAAACAGAAGTCCAGTGTACACATTGGCGTTGACCACCAGTCTTCGTTACTTACCCTTGAAAACTAGCAGTAAAAATTCTGAGTGTTCCCTGTATCTTGGTACAAGCTGCAAAGTCGTGAATATTCTCGGCTGTTAACCAGGTGTTATCAGGTGTTCCCAGACTGTAAATGCACAATTTTATTTTTTTAATGGTACACAAGTCTCACATATTGTTTATGGTCCATTTTCTATATACACGTAATCACATGGAAACAGACCCATTACATTTGTTCCACTAAGCTAACAAGAGACATAAGGCTTAACCCGGACTGGTTTCACTGGCGAAAACACATGTAGAAACAATGCAAACATGTGTACATGGAAAATGGAGCCAAGACTTCAGTGAATCGAGAGGTGGGGAAAGGGATCAGGAACTAACACTTCCTTAAACGAGTAGCAGCAGTCGGATAGCCGGAACACTCCCATAAAAGAGTAGCATCAGTCGGATAGCCTGTGGATCTGTGTAGAGTGTGCTGGTTGTTGGGTCATATTAAACTTACACTGTCTGTCTACAAGTAACACCGCTTGAGAACAGACACTCAGCTAGTTCAACCAACATTTTAAGTCCTTAATAGTCAATTATAGTTGAAAACTCTAAGTTTACACTATAAACCTTAATAGTCAATTATAGTTGAAAACTCTAAGTTTACACTATAAACCTTAATAGTCAATTATAGTTGAAAACTCTAAGTTTACACTATAAACCTTAATAGTCAATTATAGTTGAAAACTCTAAGTTTACACTATAAACCTTAATAGTCAATTATAGTTGAAAACTCTAAGTTTACACTATAAACCTTAGAATGCCTCGTTCGGCATTTCTGTCCAAACGAGGCTAAAATGTGTTAAAATTTTTGCCTAGTTTTTGCCTCGTTCTTTGCTTATTAATCGTTTGGTTTCTTTCAAATAAATATAACGTACGCCTCCACCTAACTGATATGCAGACAAGAAATTCGTGTTTATCTAATCTAACAAAAGAAGAACCATCACACATAACAAAAAATCCATTATTATTATTCAAGAAAGCATAACATTTCATATTTCCAATACGCCAGTTTATTTTCTATATTTACTGTAGAAAAATAACCTGACTATAGCATTGAGACCACCATTGAATAGATCACAGAATT